GTGTGGGGGGGTGCCCATGTGTGCATGCATGTGTACATGTGTGGGGGGGTGCCCATGTGTGCATGCATGGGCAAGGGGGGGAGTATGGGGATGTATGTGCACGGAGGGGGGTGTACATGGGCACCTGCGCATGCACGCACAGGGGGCATGTGTGCGCATATGTGTATGGAAGTGTGTGTGTGTGTGTGTGTGTGTGTGTGTGTGTGTGTGTGTCCACACACTCTGGAAGCGTCTGAACTCAGCCCCTCTCCAGTGTGCAGCGATGGCCTGGAGCGCGGGCGAGCGAGGGCTGCCCTTGCGTGTGCATGTAGCACGCCGCGCACGCCCCCAGTGACTCCCAGCCCCGGGGCTCCCGCGTGCAGCCGGCTCGGCCCCGGCCCTGGGCCACAGAGACGCTCCCGGCGCAGGGGCCGCAGCAGACGGGCGCGGGGGGGATACAGGGAAGAAATCCCGGGCGTTGCCACAAACACCCCAAGCCGCTGGCCATGGCATATAGGTGCCCCCGTGACCCCCTGGACAGGACCAAGGGGGCATCAGGGGGCAAAGGGAAAGTCCTGACAAGGGGGCCTGGGCTTTGGGGGGGCTGAGGGAACAACAGGTCTCCCCAGATCTTCCCCCAGGTCAGAGGTCACTGCCGGGGCTAGAGGCCAGGCCACTGGACCAGCAAAGCCCGAGCCAGCCTGGAGCCAGGGGCAGGCTGCTGCTCCAGCTGAGACACCAGCCCCTGGAGGACACTCCTGGCCCTGCCACTGACCTGCCAGGTGGCCTTGGTCTGGTCACCTCGCCACCCCATGCCTCAGTTTCCCCACCCGCAACACATCACCCCCCCAAAAGAGGCTTGGAGGCAAAAAGAGCTGCAGGCGGGAGCTGGGAGGAGGGAGGGAGCGGGCGGCGCTGGGCTCATGTGGATTGGGGCGGAAGGTGCGAGGTGGGCCCTGCCAGTGTGAGACATTAAGAGGATTAAGGAGAGTTTCAGGGGAAGACACCAGTGCAAACACCGCAGGGCCCGGCCCTCCCCCAGCACACGCTAATCCACACCCCCCCCCCCCCCCTCGCCCCCCCCCCCCCGCCGCAAACAGCCCCGGACGGCAAATCAAGCCAGGACCAACCCGACCCCGGCCCTCCCCAAGCCCTGTGCGCGGTGGGGGGCTGGAGGGAGCCGGGGGCTGCGGGACTTGGCTCTACCCCGGAGAAGACCCAAGTGCAGGAGGGTGCGGGGAGGGGGAGCTGGAGCCCCAAGCCCCCCACCTGTCTGCTGCCATTGGAGGTGGGCGACACCCTGTCGTGGGCCGGGGTCTCCCATGCGGAGACGGCTGCAGGAGCAGCACAGGTGGGGCTGAGCCCTGCAAGGGTGGCAGGGAGCTCAGGAGGTCACATCGGGTCCAGCCCCCTGCTCCAAGCAGGACCAGCCCCAGCTACAGCATCCCAGCCACGGCTTTGTCTACCCGGGGCTTCAACACCTCCAAGGATGGAGATGCCACCACGTCTCTGGGGAGCCTGTTCCAGTGCTTCACCACCCTCCTAGGGAACGAGTCCTTCCTAATATCCAACCTCAACTTCTCTTGCTGCAGCCTGAGCCCATTGCTCCTTGTTCTCTGCCACCACTGGGGCAGGTGCGAGTCCTCCCCAGGGAGGGAGCAGAAGAAACTGCCCTGGTCCCATGTCTGGCTCTCCAGTCTGGCTCGCAGCAGTCACGGAAATCCTAGCCAAGTGGAGCTGGAAGGGACCTGCGGCGGCAGCATCAACCCCATCCAAACTCCCCCTGACAAACCCCACATCTGACCTTGGAGCCCCACGACAGTCACCCCAAAACAGCTCCCGCCCCTGCCCCCGGGATACAGGGGGGCCGTGGACAGCAATGACTGGCTGCTGCCGGGGGGTCCTGGACGTGCAGAGAGCCCAGGCCCAGACTGTGCCCCCGCTGCAGGGGAAGGACCTCCCCCCCACCCCCCGCTGCTTGTATCGTGCGTGCATGCGTGTGCATGTGTGTGTGCCCTTTTGCCCCTGCATCTCCACCGCTGAGCTGCTCACACCTGTAGCTACTCTGGGGATGGCGGACCCTGGCTGGGCAGCAGCCCCCAGCCCCGACCCTTTATCTTATCCAAGTCCATCCTCGCCACCCTCGCTCCTCTCCTGCAATCCGCACCCGGCTCCCGCAGCCAGGCCCGAGGCACACGCACACGCACGACCCACGCCGGCTCCCCGCC